TCTCCTAAGTTGTCTTCTCCATGGGAAGGCCCATATGGCATAGTGGATCGTCTCTCAGACGTGACTTTCCGGGTAAAATGTGGTCGGCGAGGTAAGCCAAAAGTGGTGCATGCCAACAGGCTTTGGCGTTATCACTATCCAGGACATTTCAGTTGGGATGAAGTGGACAACAGAACAAATGACCCTGCTGAAGACGTGCCACCTGAAGAAGCCACCGTCGAAGAAGAAACTCTAGTCAGTTTTTAGAAGGGAAACAATGAAGCTCTTGATGAAGTTACTACCACTGATGTGACTGTTACCGATGATAGGACATTTACCGATGAAGCAGATGAACCCCACATGAAGCAGAAGCCAACGAGACGGAGACCAGAACAGAATAAGATACATCCCATAAAATTAAGAGACTTTGTTGAATTTTAATTTTTGTGTTTGTAGTGTTTGTAAGTTCTGTACATTTAATTAATTTATTGTTAATTATCTATTGGTTTAATGTAAATGGCTATTGTTCGGGATGAACAATACTAAGGAATGGGCTGTGTTACGACAGCGGAAGTCACGTGACGCTAGTAACACGTCATGATACTCTAGAAGTATCATGTCTGTGCGTGGCAACTCTGGTCTTTTCTACGCACTCTCTATTCTTGTATATAAGTGCGCCAGATAAAGCGAAATTAATTAATTAGAATAGGATTGCAGACAGATAGAGACGGACAATTGAGTCAATCGAGGTAGTGACCCTAAGTTAAGTGCGTGAATCTTTGTGAATTATAGCGTGTGTTGAAGTTAAAGTGACTGTGGAAATTAAGTGTATTGCAAAGTTGAGTTGAGAAAGAATAAACTAGTTTTATTTAAGAAAGGACTTGTATCGCTGAAGTTTATCGGAAAGAATTTCTACGGAAAATGAACAGAAAGACGTAACAACTTGTTGAATCAAGTAATAATTAAACTGCTTTCACATCTAATCATATAAAATATTCCAAGCATTAAGAAGGTCTAAGGTGTTATTTTTCATGAAGAGGATGCTGCTACTTTACAAAAGAACTTAGATCATTTAATGAGTTGAGGAAATAAGTGGCAGATAACTTTTAATTCTGATAAATACAAGGTAATATATATATGTGTTATCATAATTGAAATTATAAGTATAATTTCGATGGGAAAACGCCAACAGTGTTATGGAAGAAAAGGATCTTGGTGTTCTTGTTGATCAGTTTCTTAATTAAGCAGTCCAAGCTGTTGCTAGTGGTAGGGGCCAAATAGG